AAAACTAACAAAATTCTGATTCAAGAATGTTATTTATACTAGAAAAGACAAAAACACTAAGCAAGAGAATCATTTTTTGCAGTGTATTGTCTTCTGCTTTATATCTGAATTGAATGTGCTTATACTCGACGGCTTTAGCAACACCGGCTCTGTTATTGATCTGAATTATGACTATTGTCTTGACCTGGTCTCATATTTGATGAGGTCTGCATCATTGATTGTGTGGTTTTCCTGCTGCTCTGAAACGATCTGTCGAAGCTGCTCTTCTCAGATCTCTAACCAAGGCATCACAGAAGGGCATTCTGGGACATGCACATGCAGCAGCGGAGCCGCTCTCACCTCAGACTTCTCCATCTTGCCCTGCGCCTCCACCTGCGTGATGATCTCGCTCATGTTGGTCTCCAGCACCATGCCGCCCATCACCATCTCCGCTAGGATGTTGTGCACCTGCGGACACACAGAACAGATGGCTCAGCGTCCCGCGGCTAGCGCTAGCGCTCGTTTGTGAAGCGCGCCTCACCTTATCCACGTGAAAGATCAGGTCCAGCTCACACACGTTCTCAAAGCATTTATCCAGCGTCTCCACCAACACCTGCGACACAGAGAGAGCAGAGACAGTCACAGATCCTTCAAGAGCAGAAAACAATACGTCTCTAAATGTATTAGAATCGCTTTAGAGTTTGAAAATACAACTTCCTACAGATCTGCATTAAATCATTTTACCAAAAACAATAGATTAATGCTTGAATATCTCTGCTCACAAACACTAGAATATGTGACCTTGGAGCACAAAACCAGTCATAAGGGGCCATTTTTGATTTATGTATCGTCTGAAAGCTGAATAAATAAGCTTTGCACTGATGTGTGGTTTGTATTGAATGTGACCTGGATCAGATCCAGAATGCCCAGCTCGCTCTCGGACGAATCCACACAGAACACGAAGTACAGCGTGGCGTAGTGTCTGTAGATCAGCTTGTTGTCCGAGCCGCCGATTAACCTGAGAGCACACACACACACACACACACACACACACACACACACACTCACACACACACACACTCACACACAGACACACTCACACACAGACACACACACACACAGACAAAGACACACACACACACAGACAAAGACACACACACACACAGACAAAGACACACACACACACAGACAAAGACACACACACACACAGACAAAGACACACACACACA